AGTCACATGGATGCCCTCTCAAGTGGCCGTACAGGCGACAGCATCGCATGGGATCAGATGGGTGAGGAGTGGAGTTGAGTTGAGAGGAGAGCGGACAGACAGCAAACATGCAGAGTATGAGTATTTAAATGTGTATCATGGCGGTGGTCAAGTGAAGCGCATGCGTTGATGGACTTGAATTATATGCGACTTAAGCTCCGCTGCTGCTGCTGTGGCTGCTGCTGCTGCTGCCACTGCTGATGTTGCATCGGCATCCTCGGCAGCCAGTGCCATAAAAATTAAAAGTCATTATGGCCTGGAACAGCATTTAAGCCATGGCAATATCGTCTCTCTGTTTGTCTGTCTCTCTGTCTGTCTGTCTGGTCTCTCTTGCTGTGTGGATATGGGGAGACCGTGGCACATTCCCACATTCCCACAGTCAAAGATCCCAAGATCCCAGGTCGGCGGCTCGGCTCGGCTCGGCTCGAGTGTCGCTGGGCTGTCAGAAAGTGCCATGAGACGGCAGCCACATGCGTCCACTTGGAGTGGGTTAATATTTGTTTGCTTTATCATTTTGAATTGACAGCAAAGTGGCGCTTGTTGCTCTTGTTGTTGGCTGCCCCAGCGGGCGGGCCGCGCCGAAGGCTCAAGTTGTTTGTTGTCTGCGCGCCGATTATGGAAAGTTGATGACCAACACAACTTGTAACAGCAAACACCAAATATAAAGCCTCCAGTCTGCAGCTTCTTCGCTTCTTCTGCCACTTTTCGGTCGTAGAAAATTGCACATTTCTCTGCAGAAGGTTTTCAATTTCACAAATGCCAATGCCTCCCTTTTGTGTTATGCGCCGCTCGTGGCTAACCGCAAGTGCGGAATGCAGCCTCAGCCACAGTCCCAGCCACTGCCACAGTCCAAAGTTAAGGGGGCTCTGGAGGGCGGGGCCGTGGCAACGACTGCCAGGCAACACTTCGTTAAGTTGAGGCCAACATCAACATCAACGTCAACGCCTGTGTCGGTTAAATAGATTTTCAATGCCCTCTCCTCTGCCTCGGCATGCACCGAATTTGGGGGCATTTTGTGGGCAATTAAGAATTTATTTAGACTGCGAGTTGGTTGCTGAAAAGATGAAGAAAGGGTTGCAAAACAGAAAAGCCATAGGAAAATGAATTTATTGGGATGGTTCTATGGGTAATCGGTACTTCCATGATGTATAGGGAATAACTTTCATTAGCAAAAAGACTTTCCAAAGAGTATCAACAGCTGCGGCAGCTCAAACCCTTTTTATTCTTTTTTTTTTGGGTCGCTTTTGCGCTCGCCTTCCCTTGGCTTTGATCTGTGTAGCTGTGGCAGGCAGGACGTCAGCTCGAACCCAAACTCAAAGGTAGCCACATGTACCGGGGTACCGCTGCAGCAAATTGAAAATTGATTTTTGAGCAGAGACACAGGCAGAGTCAGCGAGTCAGAGAGACAGTCAACGAGTTCGTTGCCTAAGTCTTTCGTTTGCGATGACTCAAAACAATATACGCCGCGAAATTCCCACATAAATTGCGCGCGTTGTCAAATTAAAAATGCCTAATGAGCCGCTCGGAGCCGGGGCCCAATGCAAAAGAGCTGAAAAATGCATTAGAAGCAGCAGGGATCCGTCCTGGGTCTCGGGTTCTTAGTCTCTCTCCAGCCCCCGCACAGCTTCACCGATTCGAATCCCCCCCTGCCATAGTCAACGGCGGCGAAATGTATCGTGTTACAAATCACGGCGGGGCGTGCGGGCGGAGGCAACATCTCCTGCAACCAGAAAACAGCAACCAGCAAAGAGTAGAAACAAGTTTCGAGTGGAAATGCGTGTAGCGTGCAGCGTGCGAAACACTGCAGAACATGAACACGAAACGACACGACGCGACGCGACGCGACGCGAAAGAAGCCTCCCGATGCCCAACCCGATCCCGATCCTGAGACCTCGGCCTCGGCCTGATCCCTGTTCCGTTCAGGCAAGCGATCTGTTCTGTTCCCTGATGCTCTTGTACATGTCCACTTGGGCAACATCTAAAAATAGTTGGTGCGGGGAGTGGGTGCCCGAGTTCCCCCTCGAGTTTGGGCCAACATGAAAAATGGCAACACTTTTGCGCTCATAAAACCTATTTATATGTCAGGCAGCTACCTAAGAGAAGGGCTCTCCCTCCCGCCACCTCACTACATGCTACAAATGAGACGAATTCACTAATATGCTCGATCGTTTCCATTGCAGTGTGCCAGGGCCACAATGCGCAGAGGCGCAGGCGCAGTCGCAGTCGCAGGCGCAAGCGCGTGAGATCTCCACGCAAGATCATCAGAAAGGAGGGAAGACAGAAGGCAGGCAAGCAGTCGGACCCAAAAGGAGCCCTTAGTCCGTGGGTCCAGTCCAGTTTGAGGACGGGACCACACAAATACAGGCACGCGTTCGCTGACAGAATAAAAATTGTTGCGCTTGTGTTTAACGCGCGAACGCGGCGATATCGCTGCCACAGCGGCAAACGGGCAAACGGGCAACGGCAGTGGCTGTGGCTGTGGCTGCCACAGCAGAAGCAGCAAGATCGTACCTTGTTTCAAACTGGCTCCCTGCCTGGAACTCTGACTCTCTTTCCCTCGGTTGTGGCCTGTGTGGCTGTGGCTCTCAGGTTAAAGTGGTCGGGGAGGGTGGGCAGGGGCAGGCATTGTCGGCTTGCTTAGCTATCACTGAACGATTATCGTGCATTTTAAAATTCTTACGAGTTTCTGCTGCTGCTACTCTGCTCTGCCTTCTGCCTTCTGCCGTCTTTACCTTTTATACCCGTATTGGCCCTTTTCTCTCTGCGCCCTGCGCCTGCTCTTTGTTGGGCCAGATTGGAATCACGCATGGGAACCAAGCGCCTTGGCTTTTGTCTTGTCTGCGGACTGCAAAAAAAAAAAACACACACACACACACACACACAACAAAAATATTAAAGTAAAATGAAAGGAAGGATATTGTGTATGGAAAAAAAAGTGCAGCATTCTCATCAACAAATTAGGAGGCGGTATATTTGTACATATAATAAACGAATACAGGAGGGAGGCGCTGGCTGGCCGGCTGGCTTTAAACACACTTTTATTAATCTTTCTTTTAAGTAGTAATTTGTATTTTTATCAATTTGTTAATTGCATAGTTTACATAGTAGTAACTCTCCACAGCAAATGCCCATCCATTGATTGGGTAACATTCGATTATTGCCAATGTACACATAGTAGGATCACATAGCAGATCTTTGTATATAGATTGAGGCAGATGCATTTGTTATTGGAAATACATAACTACATAAGTAAATTGCTACACAAGTGGTTTTCGTCTTGATAATAATTTGATAACGCTATCATATAATATGTATATTGTTTATATATAAATATTTTTTGTAATTACATACTCCGTGGGCATAACTAGTCATAATTTCATTTGATTGGATTTTTCGTGTGGGTTCTTTTTCTTTTTCTTTTAATTTTTCATTTGTTTTTGCTCTATGGAAGGGTATTGGTATTTGGAGTCTCTATTGTTTGTTACTTTGTCATTCGTTTCAATTTGTTTTCAACTACTAACACATATCTGTCTTCTACACTTTAGTTAATAACTTTTTGCAATAACATTAAACATTTGCAAAACAAAGCGAAAGAGTCCACTACACAGAAAAGAGTCAGTAAAATATATGTGTATATGTATGTTTAATGTGGAAACCGATTGAGGTGGCGATAACCAATTCCATAATGTCTTAAGAATGCACTTTATGGCGCGTGTGATAAAAAGTAAATGCCTTTTGGCCACACTTCCCGTCACTAAATCCCCCGATAAGGATTGCTTGCACGTCAGAACTAACCATAAGAATGTGTGCTTCAATATCAGGAAATGAGTAATACGCGTAATATCATGGAATATAAAATAATTATAAACTTAAGCCAAACGACATTCGAAAAGAGCGAAACCAAATCGAAAGTAAAGCGAGCCTTAGCCAAGACACGAACCGCAAAAATCAATCATTTCTACTGGGATATTTCTTTTGTGTATAAATATTTTGTTATACATTTGTTTGTTTACCTAGTGCCTATCACCTTTAGAGGTTAACTTCTGTAGAGCTGCTTGAGGTTTTGGTCTCAAATTGTAGTTTCAGCATTTAGTTCTAGTAAAAGTTCTGCAAGTTCTTTCTCTCTGCTTTGTAGTTCTCTGTAGATATTGACAAATATTTGTCGGTAGTCTGTATATTCTAGAAAAAAAACACACAAATTTTTCCTATACACTTGTATTTGTGTCCCTTTTTCTGTCTTGTGTGTGTGTGTGTGTGTCTCTGCTAACTTAATTTTTATTAAATATTTTGTGTTGTAGATCTATGAAAAAATCCCCCGCAGACAGTACTTTCGGTTGCATTTTGCTCGGTCTCTGCGTTTTCGTCATTAAAATTCCTGTTCGGTGTTCAAAATTGTATTCTTTGTTCTGCTAATTGCATTGATTAACTAATCAGACTAAACCCTTAGCTAACAGTTACTTCGCTACAATTTGTTAAGTTTGTTAATTTATTAACTACATACAATAGATGAAACAGTTTCGGTAGCAAACATTTACTTATTGTTCTAATTGTAGTGAATTGTTTTGCCTTTTTGTATTTGACTGCATTCTGGTGATCCATACATTAATTCTTAGATTGTGCTCTCATCGTGGTAGTAGAACCCTAAAACGCTATCTAATATTACAATTTGATATTTTAGACATTTATCTTTTTGTTGTTTTTTCTGTTTTCTGTGTTCTGTTGCTACATGTTTGTCAATGTGTGTGTGTTCCGTACCATTACTCTCTCCTCTTCGTCTCTTCTGTTTTCTAAATGGAGCTGGAGTTTTTTCTCTTTTTCTGAAGTTTTTAATTCTTTTACAATATGATTTGTTTTATTGCTTTGTTTTGCTGTCTCGAGTATGCGAGCATTACATAAATGTATATATTTGTGTATTTGCATTTGTCGTTTTGTTTTGTTTTTTTCGTTCATTTTTGTTTTTGTTTTTCATTTATTTCTGGATCACATATTCAAGTAGTTTCAAAATCACATAAAAATCACTCTTACAGTAGCGTATACAAAATACATGCTTCGTCTATAAATATATAAGTATTTGTGTACACACTATACATATATATTTTGTGTGTTCCCGATTCCTGGTTTGATTCTTCCCAGTTGTGAGATATCTTTCGTTTCGCGTGAAAAATGGATTGATTGACATGTTCAAATATTGATTTGCATTTGTTGCCTTTTTCGATTCGAGGATAGAACGAAAATCCCCAAGTTGTTAGATATACTTGAAGAGAATTCGTGTGTAAAGTATGATAGCAAAAGTGTTCACACTGTGCCGGAATCGCTGTGAGTCAGGGGTACTACAGACAGAGAAAGAGAGAGGCTTGGTATACGCTCAACAGCTCCATTATAAAACCCATTTCTACATTCATAACTATCCACCTGTGGTCTGTGTACGCTTTTATCATACGCCTATTAAAGCATTTACATTTAACACACATTTATTTATTGTTTTGTTTTTAATAATTTGTATTTCAAGATGTTTGTTTTTGGCCTTCCTTCCTTCCTTCCCTACAAAAAACACAGTACAAACACACACAGATATAAAAGCCTTTGCGCTGCGTTGACATTTCTAGTTAGCTTTTTGTTTTGTTTAATAATACATACATATATAATATATTTGCTTTTCATGTATATAGGGTTCGTATATATTCTTGTATATCGTAATAGTTTTGCTTTTGCGTTTGCTTTTGTTTTCCATAAATGCCTTTGCAGCTGCGATTTCAATTCACTTTTTCCCGCTCCCTTTGCTTTCCATTTAGTTCTTTCAAACTAACTAACAATACATTTCATTTGCTCATTCAACTTTGTCGTATGCGACCAGTAAAACAGCTCTTGATAACTACAATATTGCTGCACAAAAAAATACAATGGTTTTTGAAGACGGTTCTTATCTTTTGTTTGTTACATTAACTCTGGTTAACATGTTCTTTTTAAACTGTGTTCGATTCGCTGTATCGAGTTACATTTATTGTTATACTTCCCTTCCTTCATCACAAATCGGTGTCCAAATGCTTCATAAATATATATATATAGATCTATATAGGTATATTTCATATTCGTTCTTGTACCATTAGCCAAATGCTAGATTTCATATATCTTAACAACTATTTTCTGACATTGACATTTTGTTTTTCATTCCTTTTGCTTTTGCTAAATTGGAAGCTTCCACTGAGGGGGGGCTATATAAAATCATAGGAAAAATTGAGAGTCAGCTGCAAAATAAGTACTTAAAGCACTAGAAAAATCACAAAGTAACCTAATAAGAGTACGAGTATATAAAGAATGTTTGTATTTTTTGCGTGTGCTTCGGCTATCCACATATCATCAAAAAGCCAAGGCTCTTAGTTTTCATAAAACAAAATGAATATTTCATTAGGGGAAAGCGCTGTCGCCTTCAGTTACAAATTAATTTTATGTTCTATAATTACTTTTGTGAAGGTAAACAAGCGGGCAGGGGGAGATTGAAAAAAAAAAAGTTCAGTACACAGACTAGGATTTATGATCCGTCAGTTACATCAAGTTATGACGCTTGGCTGGGGCGGGTTGGTTATTGCTTGAAAATTTCTTTGTTTGTTTGTTTTTCCGTTTTTCAGTTGGTTTTTTGTCGTTTTCACAAGATTGAAACACACATACGAGTACATATAAAATACAGTTTTGAAAATCGGCTTATATAAAATCACTGGTGGTTTTTGTTGTTTTGTTTGTTTGTTTTGTTGCTGTTTGCTGCTGTCGCATGCGACACTACATTGTTAAATCTTCATTAACTTGATCAATTTGTTGTTTTCTATAAAATTTGTTAATAGTCAATTGCTAAAAGTGTCTAGAAAAATTAATATACCATTATAGTTATCATAACGTCAACCAATTACACTGCGTAATGGTTCCGCGCCTTTCATAATTCTTTAGATAATACTAGTGAAGAGTACAATATGACTGAAAGTGTGGCATATTTCAATACAAATAATAAGATACTACGGATATACGATACGCAATAAAAATTATATGAGAAATATTGCAAATTTGTGCAATAAATTGAATAAAACGAAAAAAAATATATATGATATACATTATTATGCAAGAGAAGATTTAAACTTAAAAAACCTTTTTCAAAATATTCCTGTAGTCGTTATGCAAGCAAAAATTAAATACATATTAAAATAGTAAAATACCACAAAGTAAAATATATAACTTATTTGTTTAGAGCAGCTAGCTAATTCAATTAATAGTTTGTGCCTAGTAATTGCTAATATTCATGATTAATTTGCATAGAGCTGAAGTATATAACTCATATATATGTAAAAGTTTTGACATATGCCTTCGATCAGAAGCTTCAACATTTCGCTTACAAACTAAAGTTTACTTTTGTGTGTCATGCACATTGTCATGCTGTTGTCGCGTCTTAATATCCGAACTATCAGCCAAAGGGCCAGTTGTGGCCGCCCCCCTGTTGCTGATTGAACATGTTCTAGGTGTGTGTTGTCATTACCGGCACCTGGCAGTAGGGGCACTCGGTGACCGAGCCAGCACATGTATTGCAAATGGACAAGTGATTGCACGGCTCCAGGGTGACGGTGCGATTATTCTCCTCACACTTCATGCACTTCTTTGCATTCTCTAAATATAATACTTTGTCGACCTCCTCCAAATCGGAGCGCAGCTTTGACTGAAAAGAAGATCGTGTTGAGTCAGTAAATCAACAGTGGAAATCAGTCAGTGAAGTTAATCACCTGCAATTGCTTCAATTTCTGAATGGACAAGTCTCGCAGCTCTGCCGACAGGTTGAGCTGTATCTGAGCCAAATCGTAGCGCTCCTTCCACTCCAATGCCTCCTGCTTGGCCTTGTCACGGTGGAGCTCGGCAATCTTCAATTTACAGACCACATCGTCATATCGGTTGCTCAGCTTGTGGATCTGGGCGTTCTTCGTAATCAAGTCGTTGGTGATGCTGCTGTTGTTCTGCGACTGCAGTGATTGCAAGCTGAAGGCGTTCTTGGCCGTATTCAAGGTATTCTCGAACAAGCTGTTGCCCACCGAGCTGCTATTGATGTCATCACGTATGGTATTCATTTCGGATATTCTGACCGATGGACTAATGGACAAGCCATCGCCGAAGCCCGGGGACATGATGCGCGATGGGAAGAAGAGGCTGTTGTCGTTCTGTGTGGCAGCCGAGAGGGAGTTGCTTAACTTGTTGGAACCGCCGTAGTTGAATGCATCCATGGCGAAGAGATTGGCGTGATTGGTTGGACTGTAGGTGAGCGAGCTGCCAGGAATGTTGACGGCAAAGCCACCCGAGTTAAAATCTGTTCAAAAACGAAGAAAAACAAAACAAAACCATTTATTTGTAGAGACATTAGACACGTTTGCCGGCTTGGATTGCTTCACTTACCATTAATTGAGTTACTTAGTGTCGTATTAGGAATGTTAATTGGCGCCGAGGAACGTGTTAATAAGCTACTATTAGCCAGACTCGACGACAGTGAGTTCTCGCGTGGATCGTCCAGTGAGCAAGCTACTTGCAAAGAGTGAAGATAAATACGTACATTTAAATTTGAGTTTCAGTTAGGCGTACAAGGCGGCGTTGCTGCTTTTAGCTCTGACAATTTGTCCACAACCAACATTTAGAATAGGAATTTTCTTGAATATATTTTAATGTATATTTTCTTATAGGTTCACCCAAAATACTCACAACGACTGTCCAGGGGTCGTGAGAAATTTAATAATTTGCTGGAATTTCTTGTATTTTCCAAAGCATCTACCAACATTTTATTGGTACTATTACCATGTTCAATGTTCAACAACTACGAAGAGAACGAAACAAAGAGAGAAAAAAATCGAGGAGAACAATATGAGAGCACGCCAAAGGTTTCTGTGGGAATTGATTGGTTAGACAATTAGGCTGATGATCGTTAGCTGGATTAGCGCGGCTGATTGTAATGTTTGTTGGTAGAGGTAATGTTGGGGGAGTAGTATGGGAGGATTAAACGTTTACTACACATAGTTACACAGGATATGCATGAATGGAGTTGTTTACTGGATTTGTTTAACTAACTGGTTACTGGTAATACGTACATTATCGCCCAAATGGTGCACATCCCGTGGCTGTAAGTCGGGCAAGGCGTTGGAAATGAGATCACGAAGCGACAGTTCATGCTCCCACGTCTTCTCATCGGCCATTACACAAACTTGTTTTGGGTGGGAGGTGGAGTTATGGAGAAGCGACACGGATCAGCAGAGCGGCAAAGCGAATATATTGATTGATGCATTGATATTTTGAGGGTTTTTTTTTAGCAGTTGTTTCAGAGATAGTTTTTGGTTTTTCGGATTCATGGTGCGAAGCAAGTAAAAGACAAACAGAACGTTAATTCAAAGGTATCAAAATATATCCCTATGCTGGGCCCTACAGAATCTGGTTGTGGAGAACAGCGCCGAAAGCTTAGGAACCTACAGAACAACCATTGAGGATCGCAACTTACGTTCTACATGGGCAAAGGCGCAGAATACGCTACGTGGACAGTAGCCGGCCTGTTGTACATCGTTGCATTTGGTGGATTTGTATATCTCCGGATGGAACTGCTGTTCAGTGCGTGTGTGGCAGTACTGGCAATTGTCGCCGGCCTCGCAATTGCCCGGCTCACCCCATTCCTCGCCGTGCTTAACATTGGGGCAAGGTGTCGACCTGCAAAAAAAGGATGTTAGTAAGGGATTACACTGGGAGGACTCTGCTCTGGTTGTCTCACCTGTATTTGAACTTCCTGGGCGAACGACGCTTGTCCTTGCTGTTGTGGTACTGTGGACAAGCATAGCCCTGTCGGCACAGGCGAGGCGGACGCTTGCACGGCTCCGTCTTGTAGTTGGCCAGCACATAGTTGGTGTCCTGCCACTTGGGATCCTCGTTCATCAGATTGCGCTCCTTGTCCAGGGCATTCAGGGCATTGGTGCTGTCCAGTGTAATTTCAGCGTTCTGCAAGGTCTCCAGCTCCTTGATGTCGTACACGGGTGGCCGCTGATCCTGCATTCCATGGGCGAAGGCGCAGTGTAGGCCATTCTTGACGCAGTAACCCCTGCTGTCCGTGTCATGGACACACATGCATGTCTTGTAGTAGCGCAAGTGGTAGCGCCGCTCGGTATCGCCAGCGGTGCGGTGCAGAAAGGGGCATCTGTTGGGTACGAGGCGGGGAATTTAGTGACGTACGCTCGGGTTAGAGCTAAAAATAGCCACGCAGCTGTTACCCCTCCTGTGCGTGGGCACAGGAGAAAGCGCAAACATTTCAAGTCTGGGTCACAATGGGTTGTTGTGCGCAGAAACAGTAATTGCGTATTATTCTTTGTCAAAGTGTAGGAACACAGGGTAGGGGGGTTTGTTCTTATCAAATGCATATGGTACCATATTGGATGCATTGGCAGGTGAAACTGCACTTTACATTGCCAAAATATGATACATACACCCCATATGAATACACCTTGCACCCAAATCATTCTGTCTCGCTCTCAAAGCTTCACAATAACTGTACATTTTGAAGCCTGCCGGGGAAAATCAAAATAAAACGAAGAAAACACGCAAAAGCGAAACGCAATAACAACAATGACGCACACTTGTAGCAGTGCGTCTGCATGAGTGTGTGTGTGTGTTGGTGTCTGTGTGAGTTTAGGAGCAACACCACCACCCAAGATATATGACAAATGTGGAAAGGCAGACCAAAGTCACGCTCTCTCGCGCACATATTCCCTCACACACATACTGAAACGCGCTTCACCATTCACACAATATACCTTGCCAACACCACCACCAAGTCCAAGGCAGCAGCATCCGGCGGAGAGACAGCCCACAGGCGGATTAGAACTTCCCCTTCGCTAGCAATGAAATTGCTGAAATCACTTTCACTTTTGTGGGCGACAGTGGCCTCGTCGTAGGTTACGCCTACCCTACTCGCAAACACATACACACACACACACAGACGCACAGATACACACGCGCATTTGAATTTCACTTTTTGCTAGACGCTACGTTCCCCCCACACACCCGCACCCAAGTTTTTGTTTGTAAACACGAAGACAAGAGATACACACACACGAAAGAAGCACAAAGAGCAAACGAAAAAATACTACGTCGTTTCGCTGGCGTTGTCTCATCCCCAGTTTCTGGTGCTGCTGGTTCCCAGAGGCGACGCAATTTATAATGCCCAGGATACTCACTCATCGCCTTCGGGACAGATGCCTGTGGTCTCATCGTATTTGGTGCAATAATTATCCGCACTGTAGTTGAAGGTGCCGTCGCGTTTGCGAACGGGTCGCCGACGCCGCTGATTTTGAAAATGCCAATTAAAACATATGAACGGGCGATGCTGATTGCACTTGTGCTGCAGGAACGACTGGCACTGCTCCACGCGGAATTCCTTCAGGTAGCTGCACAAGTAGAACAATGGCTTAGCTCAATATCTACACTTTGAGTATAATTGAATGGTTTATTTACGTATAATGATTGGGTTTTTCTTGTTGTGAAGACAACAGTAGCTTGCTCGTATCGTTCGCCATCTTTGAAGTGTGTGTCGGTGTGACCAGTTTGGTGTCGGGTAAATCTATAAGACCATCAATATACCAACTCATTTCAAATATACTGTGCATATACCGAGATTAACCCACCTAGACCCACTGTATTGGTGACTGAATCAATCGAAATTTTGGTGTCCGCCGGGAAAACAAAAAATTAGCCACAGCGAATGTCTATCGTACGTAAAAGTGTCTTGGGATGTCTCTGATTAGCGAATCTAAATGGTTTCTAACCCTCCATAGACTCTCGGTGATGTACAGCCCGAGGAAGCGGCCCGGCAGGTGCCCGGGAAAATTGACGCGGAGCTGGAGGCTGCGCATGGTGACACGTGCGGGGCAGACCAGGCCGCCCTGAATATCAATTTTCGTGTGTACCTTCACGTTCTGGACAGGTACGCCCTAAAGGATGAGGAAGAAAGTGCCGAATTGCCGGCTGACCTGCGACCCAATACATCATGAACATGTTGGGACCATACCTCGAATGTGCCTTGTTTGCTCGGAGAAAGACTACACTAGGAGACTCGGAGAGGTTTGTCCAGCTTCACGTGTGGAGCGGTGAGAGTCTGTAGTTCTTTGCAGATCTGGTGACCTCGCTGGAGGTCAGCGAGCGAGTGCGTCTCCTTAAGCCATTCACACTGAACGTGCTGCTGGAGCTGTTTAAATCCGCGGATAAGGCTGCGAGGCACAGAGTTCTCTCGCTATCTAATCTGGATAAGCCAAAAAGTAATAACCAGTCGCGATTAGTTTAGTCTCACTTTTTGCAACGCCTTTACAACTATTCAAACGACGCATTTAATGAACAAAACGGAGCTTAAACCAAAACCACATATTTCTGCAATCAACTGAAACCCTCGCCAGTTTCCTGCTCCATTGCCTGCTGCTGCAGTTGCTGCTTCTCGTGCGCCTCCTGGGCCATCTGCTGCAACGTGCGACTTAGGATATTCCGGAGAATGTGTGGCTTGCAGTGCTCCTCCAGCCAGGGTATTATGCCGGTGGTCAGCTGCTTGAAATTGTCCATCGGTATGTGCTGGAATGTGTCAAACATTTCCTCCAATATGGCCTGGAACTGCAGGGAGAGTTAAAGTAAAGTATGAATAGGAATGGACTTCCCTTCAACGAACCACTTGAAATTTCGCCTCATCTGTGAGGCGTGCCTCCTCGGGCCCTGGATTGGCCTGTTGATGCTGCAGCATGTTCTCGTAACCATTCTTGATGATCCGCAGCGCTGTGACCTCCTTCTGCAGTGCCGAACCCTCGTCCTCCTGCTTGACTTTCTGCTGATTCAGATAGCCAATGTACTCGATGGACTTTTGCAGTATCAGCGCTTTGCTCAGCTTGTAACCCGAGGAGTCGTTGGGCTGACAACGTGGCACCAGCTCCTGCAGACTGTCGTACCCCTTCTTGATGGCATCCCGTCGCTTCTGCTCCGCCTGGGTGTGTGCCTCCCGCCTGCGCTCCTTGTAGCTGAGCGTCGAATTGGCCGCCGTCGAGTGTCTGGCATCGCCGCCGCTATCGTCGTCGTCATCTGTGTGTAGACAGGGGTAAGAAACAGAGACAGTGTCATTAGGCTGTGTAATAAAACGCCAGCCACGGCTGCTACTGCTGATAGCGAGAAGCCCCGAGGAAATTCAATGCCAGGCATTATCTGCTCAGCTCCCCACCCCCGGAAGCGAAAGGAACGCATGTCTACCTGAATTGTGGGCCGAGGAGTTGGGTGTGTGGGTGCTCCCTGCACTGCTGCAGCGGGAGTATTGCTTGATGTTCAGATCTTGCTCGTGGTCCATTCCGAAAGTTTCCTCCTTGGTTGTGTTGTCGCTCATTTTTTCAATTTTTTCAACTGCGACGTTTCACCCAAAACAAAAACACCAGCAAAAGTGTATATCGATAGCAATATCGGTATTATATGGTATTTAGTATTTTATTTAGGGATGTGACTATCACAATACATTAATCGTACAAAAAGTGTTTATGCAAATATGATCATTATTTTGGTACAGCTATTAGTAATATATGAAATTTAAAATGATAGTTTTCCCAAGAAACCTTGGATAATAAATGATTTTTCAAATATTAGGCTAACTTTTTACCAACAGTTCGCTGGCGAAATATGTGGTATATACAAATTTCGATACTATCGCTATCGATACTGCCAATACCGGTCCCACTATGATGACTTTTGTGTGTTCTTGTTGAACTTTGCCATCGTGTCGTTTTTTCTTCGGGTATCTTGCCTTAAACGCCGTTTATTTAATTTATAGTTGGAATCGGCAGACGCACAACAAACTAGCCATGGGCCTGCTACGTGCCTTGCGTGTGAGAATCATGAATTTCATGATTTTCTTCCTTATAGTTATCCTCCTGCCCAACCTGCCGCCTCGCACCACTTTCCCCTACAAGGAATTTACGTAAGTTGCAGGATGAACTGCCGTCTATATATTACTAATAACGGTGCTAACGCATAATTAATGCAGTGTGACACCGCCCAAAGAACTGAAGGGGGCGCTGGAGCCGAACTTTCACCTGGAAGGCGCTGAGCGTCTGCTGGAGGGGCGTGTGTATGGCCCCGAGTGTCTTATAGCCCGCAACAATGAGATCTATACCGGCATTCATGGCGGTGAGATCATCAAGCTATCTGCCAGCCATGTCACCCATGTGGCCAAGATCGGACAGCCCTGCGGTAAGTCAGAGCAGCAAAAAGGGACGAACCTGCAGCTAACATTTTCACTTTCTTCCCCACAGAGGACATCTATGAGGAGTCGCGCTGTGGCCGCCCACTGGGCCTCGCCTTTGACACGCAGGGCAATAACCTGATCGTGGCCGATGCGTACTACGGCCTCTGGCAAGTCGATTTGAAGACTAACAAGAAGACTTTGCTGGTGTCGCCGGCACAGGAGCTGGATGGCAAGGTCAAGCGACCGGCAAAGGTTTTCAATAGCGTGGCCGTCGGCAAGCAGGGGGACATCTTCTGGACGGACTCCTCGTCTGACTTTACCATTGAAGATCTGGTCTTTGCCAGCTTCGCCAATCCCTCGGGCCGGTGAGTGCCACACGCAGCGAATGAATGAACGTAGCCCAAACCGGTTTCTAATGGTTCTGCTCTCTCTTCCGCTTGCTCTCTCTTTCAGTCTATTCAAATACAATCGGGCGAAGAATGTCAGCGAAGTGCTGTTGGACGAGCTGGCCTTCGCCAATGGCATTGCGTTGAGCCCCAACGAGGATTTCCTTGTGGTGGCCGAGACCGCTGGCATGCGCCTGATCAAGTATTATCTGCAGGGCGCCAAGACCGGCGAGAGTGAGGTCTTTGTCGATGGTCTGCCCGGCCTGCCCGATAATCTGACGCCCGATAGCGAGGGCATTTGGGTGCCATTGGTGGTCAGCGCAGACAGCGAGCATCCCACAGGCTTCAACATCTTTTCACGCTTCCCCAGCGTACGCCTGTTCCTGGCCCGCATGCTGGCCTTCTTTGAGCTGCCGTTCCGCTACCTGAACAGCGTCTACCCGAACAAGTTCTCGCAGCGCTTCGTTCACTTTGTGGGCCACATGGAGAGCATCACCCTGCTGTCGCCCAAGCGCAGCACTGTGGTGCGTGTGGACTGGAATGGCAACATTGTGGGATCGCTGCATGGCTTTGACAAGTCCGTGGGCGCCATTTCGCATGTGCTTGAGTTCCAGGAGTACCTCTACCTGGGCTCCCCGCTCAATCAGTATCTGGCGCGCGTCAAGTCACCCAAGGCCAAGCAGCCCACGGTAAAGGTGCGCAATGTGAGGACTGAGGGCGATGGCCTGGAGGCATCCTTCGGTGCACCACCGACAACAACCACGCAGAAGCCAAAGGCCACAACCACTACAACAACAACAACCACGCCAAAACCGGCAACGACAACCACAAAGAGGCCAACGACAACCACCACCACCACAACAACAACCACGACAACAACGAAGCCACCCACTACTACCAAGGCACCCACAACCAAGCCACCGACAACTAAACCACCAACAACAACAACGACAACAACGCCAAAGCCTGCTGCATCAACCACGAAGCGCACAGTGCCCACAAAACCGGCGCCCATCGAGGAACACATTCCAGCGGACACGAAGCCACCAACCAAGGAGAAGCTCAAGGTCATCAACAAGCAGGGCGTCAACGTGGAGCTCTAAACGGCAACCCTTTGAAGTTTGTTTAGGATATTCCCAGCAGCGAGAGAGATTCGGTAGATTCACGTAGTCAAAGCCAATGACAGAATCAAAGTTCACTTTACGTTTCTTTCTCTTTATGCAACCCCCCACACATTTATTTTTCGTGAAACATTCCACTCAGAGGCCTCATGCGATGCCAGTTAATTTTAGTCGAAACGTAGCTAAATTCTAACTAGCTCGAAGCCTTAGCTCAAATGATTCTCTCACTCTCTCGGGCAGCTCATTATATGCCACGGTTTATAATTCGGTTTTGCTACAAAGTCCCCCATTTTTGGAACTGCATTCCACACTACTCCCTCCCTCCCCCATATAATCTTATCTATGAAAATTAAGTTTAAAGTAAACAATGCACTGGAAATTGTTGAAACACAAGCAAAAAGTAATTCTTTGAGTTTTGTACTGATTTTTTCTTATTTCTTTTCTTATTTTCATTGAAAAAATAAAGGTTTTTTTTGTAAAGATAAATAACGTAATGGCTAATTGAGGATGTTTGTGGTTTTTTGGCTTAACTAAATTTAGAACTAGGACTAGGACTAGCACTAAGCGCCCACTACTGAGTGGACACTGACTGTGTGCTGGTGGCCTTGGGCCGGCTTGGTGGCTCTTTGAAGTCCGACCACGACCAGTTCGCATAGTGTACACAGCGTCCCAACTCCTCGGAGTACAGCTGGGACTTGGGGCAGTGCTGCAGGCGTGCACGTGTGCCCTGCCTATCGCACACCCAGTACGCCGTGGGATCCCAGAAATTGCGGAACATGCGATTCATCTCCTCCAGGCCCTGGCAGCCGGGCTCGCCGCTGTGCTCATGATATTTCCGCTTCTGAATGGGCAAATGTGCGGCAGCTGTGGCGGTAGGCATTTTAGCAGCTAAAAATGGGAAACCGGAAACTCGACATTAGTTCGCGATGAATTGGCATGGTCTTTAGATATTTTACATATATATAATTCTGCTGGCTGGCTACGTGCCTTGGCCCAGATATTTTCTTGACCATTTCTCTCACTCACCTTTGTGGTATTTTGTCGTGTCTTTTTTGAAGAATCTCACGTCTGTTGTGGCGACCAGCCTGTTGCTTGCTGTTTCACAATTATTTCACTTCTGATTTGTCATACGGAATCATTTCTCGTTTAAATACTTTTTCCGCTCAGCGGCGGCGGCACAGCAGCGACGCCGACGTCGTGCGATAGGGAGAGTCCGTTCCGATTTCAACCAGAAATGTCTGTTCTACGTACAGACGGCAACGACGGCGTTCGTCTCGCCGTGCAAAGGGGGCAATTTTTATCTATAACCCCACCAAGCGAATGCGAATGCGAATGTGAAAAACTGTTGCGCCCGTGATCTTCGAAGGCGGTCCCATTAGTGGGTGGGGCAGCGGGGAGATTGGATCCCGAACATTCATGTGTCACGCGTAGCATTCGTGTTCGGGGAATACTCCCAGTGCGAGTTATTTATGCACACAGCCACAGACCCACTTCGACTGCGAATTTCAAAACGAACGAGCAAATATTTGGAGAAATATAAAAGCCCACTTGGCCCTTGGCAACGAACGCGCTTCAGCTGAACAGGTGGGAACTTGGGCAAGGGCAGAGCGTAGGGCATTGCTTTGCAGGGGGGCTACTAAGTTCAAAGGTGAAAGTACTGGCATGACGTGAGAGACAGCAAAATGTCAACAAAAATGCCATCCGGACTGGAGGCACAGACGTAATCATAATCTCCAGCAGATCACGCCGCCAAGGAATGAATCGGATGACGAGCCCCCGTTTCGTTTAAAGTAGTTAGTCGGCTGCCCGCTCGCTCGGTACTTTTCCCCCCCAACTAGCTCTACGGCATGTGTCAGCTTTTAGCACCTTATCAGCAGACACATTTGCAAAGAATTGTAAGTAAGTAAGCAGCCGAGCCGAGCAGAGCCGACATTTACTTTCATTGATTGCTTTGCTTTGCACTCCACGTGATCGACCAGTGGGCTGGCTGCTTTTTGGCAAATATCGAAACGATTTTGTCTGCCGATTACGTCAGTAGACTTGGGCAACACGTGGGCAACTGGTGGTCAAAGTCACAAAGCATGGATGTCGCGCATATTTTCCATAAGAAACGTTTCGATCAGGTGCTGCTTTTGGAATTTTTTTGTTCATTTTGTATTCTGCAAAACATAAACTGCTACAAAGTGTCTAGTGGGGTTGACCATATTTCACCTTGAACTATTTGTTAATGCGTCCACAGGCACGTGATACGTTTTTCAGCCTATCTATTAGATGGAAATTGCGATGTGGTACACGCAGAGAAAAAAGCATTGAAATAATTGATTGGAAACTCTATCAAGCTCAGAGAGTTCAGAGATTTGTGTTCACTTCTAGTTCGAAATTGTCATGAAAACATTTAAAATACAATATTTCGAGCTTAAATTAAATCTGTTTATATCTAAGTTCAATATATTTCCTACATTTTAATGCACAATATTTATTTTTAAGTATTTTTCGACCACTAGAACCAATGAACACTAAGTGTCGTCACTTCTAATTCGAAATTATTATGAAAACATTTAAAATAAATATATTTTGAGTTAAAATTAATTAAATTATATTTGTTCATATCTAAATTCAATAAATTTGCTACAAATTTAATATGTTACATTTTTGTTTAACTCGATTAAAAATATGTTTTGTTATGAATTGTGTTTGAGTCAAAGTAATTTCTGTTTAATTTCACAATGTTTCTATTTAATTTATGTATTTGCGTTTGTTCTTTTTACTATGCCATTTTTCTCTGAGTGTATATAGGGGCATTACCCTGCATGTAGCATGAAAAGTAGTTTCCCTATTTATAATATAAAACCCATGGGCGGCACTTTAATAATGCGCATTCAGTGGGGGCTGACTAAATATATTTCATAAAAGTATTAAGAACTTGGCCAGAAATTCCGCGAATTACGAGGAGTGTCCCCTAGTGATAGCAACTATTTCAGATACATACATACGCTTCCTCCACTAACTTTAGATAAGATACATTTTTGGTTTCGTCATATTTACGCGAACTTCACGTGCGTTGCGCGAGACGAGGCACGACGAGAGCGCCGCAAGCGCTAAAAGTTATAAATAATTATCTGCTAATTGATTCGTCATTTCGAGTGGTTTGCGATGCCTGAACTTTGATACGTCGTTGGGCAATGGTTACGCGTAGATACTCGTATATGAGTGGCGTGGCGACCCCTTTTATGGCTGCAATAAGAGCGCCACTCCACCCAAGATCCATTTCGAGGGACGCTCGCGGGTCTTTAGGTTGAATGTCCAGACATAAGTGTTGCCACGCGACCTGGAAAAAACAGAGATTTAAGCAAGTTCCTGGAGGTTAAAGGTCACTCACCTGGTCTTGTACAGGGGACACTCGTAGACACGCTGCAGCTCTTGTTTCTCCTGGACAATGGACTTGATGTAGATGACTGGCATGGCGCAGAGCATCTCCTTGGGATGCAGGGCCACAATCGAGTTGAGCTGACAATCCCAGCTGGCACCATCCATATACAAATCATGGACAAAGGCACCCTCCATGGGTGGCAGACTAAACAAAAGATTTTGGTTAGAGTTCAGAGCTTTAAAGAGAGACCAAAACACCCACGTGACATCATCCTTTTGCTTCTTGGTGACATCGCAGCTGATGAGCATGCGATCCAGCGGCAGATCATGCTTCCTCGCACTCTCCTGCATGATGGCGGTGAGGAAACTCTGCGGATTGAACAATCCACCCAGCCAGATGGCGCAGGGCAGCTTAAAGTCATTCAGCCAGCCGGCCAGCTCCTTGATGCGATGCAGCAGATCGGCGAACCAGCCCTGCAGGCCCAGCATGCTGGGATATGCCAGCTGTGCCCAAGCCCCCGGCACATGATCATAGAAGATGGCATGATCCAGTCGCTCCATTTCCTGCGTAATGGTTAGCTCTCCCTTGAGGCCCAGCATGAGCTCACGAAGCGATCGCTTGATCTCACGGATGAGGGCATTCATGCGCTCACACTCCTGCAGGGCGACGACCACAAAGGGTGTCTTGCGCTCCACGCGATTGAGCAGCGCCTGCAGGTTGAACTCATCCTGCAGCTTGTCCAGAAAGTCATCGATCATGATCTTGACGAGCTCCTCCCGAGGCGCACCGCAGTGTGAGCTCAACTCCGATTCCCGTGGCTGCAGCTCGAAGATGGTGCGCAACAGCTGCTCCGAGGCGGTGGTCAGGAAACCAATCTCTGCATTCGGATGCAGTCCGTAGAGCAGCGGAGACTCGTCGGGCAGCATTTCATTGATGTACGAGTGATAGCCCTCAAAGTCGAGATTGGGCGGTGCTGGGAAGCCCGGACACAGCTCAAAGTCGCCATCGATGAGGTCCTGCTGTAGCAGCTCCTCCAGATAGGTGCGGCACAGCCGCCTGTCCCAATCATCCGTGATGTGTCCGCCGTACATGATCTCCCCAAAGAGATAGCGCAGATCCTCCCACGGTATGCGATTGCTGCCCTCCAGGTAGTTGTGGAGAACATTCGACGAGATCATCAGATCCCCAATGTTGAAGGGATAAACCTTGTTCCAGCCCTGCGGCCCGAACTTTCGCCGCTCCCCCGCGACCGCATGGAAGTAGCAGAGAGCGAACAGAATCGACTTGAACTCTGCCTCTTGGGTGCAGGTTTCCAGCGCATCCTGCGAGAAGTTGTCCCAGGCCTTGTGCAGATTGGCGGCCATGCCAGCTGGCGGCTCATTGACAACTTTCAGCGACGATTCCAGTATGCCTTGGGGTATGATGTGATACTGCGGATCGGGCGCTGGCTCTGCGCTGATGAAGAGACGAAAATTGGACTCGCCCTGCTGCCCCTCCGACTGCAGCACAATGCGCTCGATGAGCTTCTCCAGCGTGGGCAGCCAGTTGACCACCAAATGAATGTTCTGCAGAATGACCCACTGCTGGCCCGAGGCCAGGGCTTGGTGTATGGCCTGTTCGGCCAGCAGTTCCTGGCCCTGGCCCAGCGATATGTTGACCAGCGTTTCGGCATCCGCGTGGTAGCCCTCCCGCTGGCCAAAGCGCTCCACATCCCGTATGGGATCGACACCGGGCGAGAGTATAAAGAACGCAGGCGTCGCCGCATTCAGATCCTTAAAGATGGCATTGAACGGTGGCGTTTGCACCTCCGCATACGAGCGTCCCATGGTCTGTTCCACGAACTGGCACATGGCGTAGGTCATGCGATCGGGTCGCAGGGCACGTACAATGCACAGCTTCTGCAGCGGCGTTCGATGCTTCCACTCGCCCGGGAACTGCTCCCGCTCGGGGGCATCGCTGCCCATGAACTTGCGCCAGCGTTTCGTGTAGTTCTCCATGTCCTTGTCGATGCCGTAAAAGTGCTCGATGAGCGTCAGCGACTTGATGCCGCCCCAGGCGCTGCGGCCAACAAAATCCAGCGGCGACAGGGTGCTCGGATCGTGTGGATAGCGCAGCAGGAAGTCCGTCTCATCCTTGGACACCTGATCGGCGGCTATGAGAATGCGCAGCGTCATGTGCGAGGTGAATGTCAGCTTGTCCGCCTCGAAGAGCCCACGCAGCGTGTAGCGATAGGTCTGCAGCGTGATCGAGTCCACCAGATGCAGCACTCGCTTCTCGTAGCTCTTGCAGTCGGGCGCCAAAGCAATGGCCTGCCGGAAGACGTGCATGAAGGACTTCAGCGAGAACTTGTAAATGGGATTGATGCGATTGAGATCCGTGAGCACAAAGTACAGAATGGCCGCACGCTTGGCCGCCGAGCGGTAGATGTTCCGCGTCTCATCGATCTGCAGCGTTGTGAGACGCGCCTCCCGCACCTTTGCCTCAATCTCATCCACGGTGCGTTTGGTGTTCTCCAGATTCAGGACCAGCGCATGATCATCGAGCACATTCTCGCCAGCGGAGGCGAGTCGCGCCAGCAGCTCATCCTCGAGCGCTTTTAGCGAGATTTTGAACTTGTTCTGCTGCACGGTGACCTCCGTTTTCATTTGCTCCAAGTCCGGCCGCTCAATTTTGACCACTTCCGCGAGCAGCTGCTCTTCGAGGCCATCCGGTGTGACGGTAAAGTTAATCAGCGTCGTCTGTGCCTGCATTTCCGGCTTGTAGTGCGGATTGGCCATCTTCGTGTGGAGTATGAGCCGGAAATTG